TCTTTCTACATCTCTCTCTCTCTCTCTCTCTCTCTCTCTCTCTCTCTCTCTCTCTCTCTCTCTCTCTCTCTCTTTCTCTCTCTTTCTTTTTCTTCTTCTTCTCTCTCTCCCTCCCTGTCTCTCTCCTTCTCTCTCTCTCGCTCTCGCTCTCTCTCTCTCTCTCTCTCTCTCTCCCTTGCCTCTTTAGATCCGTGACTTGATACAAGCGCTAAACCAAAGACACGCAGAGGAAATTCCTTCGAGCACGCGCATACGAGGGTGAGCGCCAAGGAAATCGCGAGTGAGTGTGTGTGCGCGCGTGCGGTGGGTGGATGGTATCACCGATGACTGGGGCGATAGAGCTGGTGCTGGGTGACTTGACTCGCCGCGACAGAACGAGCGACCGCTTTTGGCGTCTAGGGTGAGTGTGAGGGATGCACGGTCGGTCCCCGATCGCGATATGGAGAAGCAGTCGCGCAGTTAGTTACTAGAGGGTTGTTATTCTGTACTGCAACAAACTTTTCTCTATTGGCTATCTCGGACGCTGGGCTTCCGAGTCGTGCAGAGTACGTTAAGGCAGTCTTCCTACCTACTTTGTGCTGTCGTCAATTACTGCTGTTTAGCATTGGATATTTCCATTTTATATACTATGTCAAAATGGTGTTATTATCTTCAAAACAGTTTAGCTACCCTTGTCGACTGAAAGTGTCAGTTCATAGGAATATCGATCTGAAATTGGAACAAGCTTTATGATAACAGTAGTGCGAAGTGCTGTCGCAGCATAAAACTATGCTGTTAGTTGTTGTAGTATTTTTTAATTATCGTCAACTTGTTTTGAAAAAGCTAATTTGAACCTCTTTGAGAATGCACGATTTGAAATGAATAAAGTGACAATCTTATGTCTCATGAACCTGTTAGGTATTTGAAATTATTTTTGTGACGAAAGATAATACTGTTAATTTTTTCTAGTGATTTATTTGTTCAGTTGATAGTCTAAACCCGATGCGTCTCTTACGCTAAAACATTAATTATCAGTTCAGAATGTCAAAAGAATCCAGAGAAAATAGATATGTGAATATCATCTGTAATTGGGAAAACCACTAGGTGTAAATCGCTGGCTTAGAATCACTAAACTCTATCTGGACGTTTCTAACCGTTTGGAGTTAGTAAAAGCATGAGGTCATAAACTCTATCAAATTCTCTCGATTATTCGGAGTCGTTAACAAGCAGATATAACTTTGTAATTCTGAGGTAGCGTCTTGGTATAATTGCCTATTTGATAGAAATTAAACGTTTCTCCAAAATTGACACACCTACAGGTTCAGATTAAGCCAGCTTAGTCGAGCTGTCAGTACTGTCAGTACTCAGGACCGCCACGACTGCCAATGTGTGTCTGTGATATACTGAATATGCTCTTTGCCTAGCACATAACAGAAACAAGTCTCCATCGTTATGCTACTGCGTTACATCTCACTCAGCCCCGTTTGACTCTCGGAGGAAGAGTCTGGGTAGCCTGCTTCCCAGTTGATTTATAATGGGTTATTTCTGACGTTAAACATTTATACTGATGTAATACTATCAGATTTGACAGTTGCTTCGTCAGACGCAATATTATCTTTAAGAATCATTTCTGTGTCTTTATTTGAGCACGTAACCGCAAAAAGTACGTTTGAGTTCGTCTTGCTTGCTGCCATAAACCATTATTAACTTAATATTGCGGAGATTTGTTTTCTTCCCGCTGCTTCGTTTCGGATTACATTTTTCACAGTTTTTAGTAAACTCATTTTGCTCCAGTTTTCTCCCATAAAGTTGTCGACAGTTTCCTTTGTCATTCAATATCGTTAAAACATGATGTATCAGCAATACCTCCTGCCGTCTGCAGTGTTTAATACCGCATTGTTTAAATCAAACACTGGCTGGAACAACATTAGCTGCTCATTGGAGCACACTGTCATCTTTTATAAACACCCCGCCAGGTGGTGCTGACGTATTAAAACATGTCTATAAATCATGGATTCTTTAAAAGGTTTCATCACATCATAGCGGCCCTGGATAACACAAAAAATGCAATTATAAAGAAAGAAGAACGTAATCCCCACCGTGCCCAGGAGAGTGTGATCAGGAATGACAAATGACAATATCATTCGGCCAGAAATGAAATCTCATGCACATACGATAAGCACAATCTATCAAATATTTGAACAACATTCAGCAAGGACTCTTGCATTCTGCTGGTTTCGTCCACTCTCTTCAAACACAGAAACTGTATTAATCTTTGTCAAGACATCTATAATAACAGAAGCCGTTCTAATCTATTTTACGACATTATAATAACTGAGTCTGTTTCTATCTATTTCAAGATGTCTATAGATATTTGTTTTCTCAGTTCCAAAGGCGATCGTTATCATTAACCACAATTTTTTTTAAATTTCTCTGTAGTTTAATTTTTGTCTTGACAAATTCGACCGCTTTGTCAAAAGCCCTGCAATTCAGATATCGGGTTCTAGCTGATTAACGGTAATCTTTCACAAGGGCTAAATTGGGATGAAATAGATAACATAGGAAAAGTAAAAGTAGCAGAAAATACTATGGGACATCCAAGCAACCACAAACTTTTCTTAATTCCAAATATTTGAGATGTGCTTCTTATTTCAAACCGGGAGAATAATTAGGAACATTCGCTGCCAAATCTTCGAGAAGAGATTACATTAAAGGCGCAAACAGAAATAGATTTGGTCGTAGGCGTAAATCATGGTACCAACCAAATGTTTGTCTTGTCTACAGTCAAGTCAGCCAACAGTTGAGCGTGAATCTACATCCTGCAAGGCCAATATAAGGCCATATAATATACGGATTGTCTGCTTTGGACGATAAACCTCCGCTCACGTTGAGCGAACACATCTGAAAGCACCTTGTGTTGAGAAAAAAGCAAACTGTGAGAATTGCGATCGTGTACATTGATCTATACCATCGGACTACCTGTGAATGATTCTTCTGCACCCTGTGACTCAACTGTTTCAAGTGTTGTTTTTCTGAATTTTAAGACCAACTTGATATTTCTCATCTGTTGCACTACTCGGGATATACTGACATTTAAGATACAGACATTGTGGAGACATTCTTCTTGGCACGTGTTGAGTTGCAGGTAAGATAAATCAACGTATCTGTTCTTCGTTCAGTGCAAAGGCAGAATAAGTTGACCTTGTGATAAAGTTCACTTTCACGTTTCTTTTTCTCTCCTAATGTTTCCTTGCACTGAAGGGAGTACTGGTTTTTGTGTGTCCTGTCCTGAACAATGCATTCGTTTTTGGAATTATTTTCATAAAACATGTGTATTTTTTTCGGTATTGCTGCCACAGAAATAAAAAAGAAAAGAAAGTAAAAAAGGAAATAATATTAACGTTACCAGTTTCATTATAATATTATACTGACCAACAATATTACACCTGAACATTGTGTTGACCAACACCTCAAACGGTGACTGTAGTGTAGTGGATGGGCGCTTTACTGTCGCACACAGGAGACCCAAGTTCAATTTCCGATTGGTGAGGGAGAATTTATCGAGTGTATATCGGTCTTTCTGCAGGGATATATGTTCGCTCTGACAAGCAGGATCAAGGGCTCGCCTCCAATTGTTCAAAATTGTCTTTATGGGGACGTAGCAAACACCTGCGTTTACTTTTTCTCTGTAAAAAATAAGCTGACACGGTGATAAGTTCACCTTAGCGTTCTTTTTTTTCTCATAATCTTTCTTTGCACTGAAAGGAGTTTGAGTTTTTGGGTCTCCTGCCATAACAACGCATTCGTGTTTGCGATCATTTTTATCACACGAGTGTATTTCTTCCACGTAAATAGTTATGAGGAACGATTTTCCATATTTCTTAAAGAAAGTTCTAAGAGTAATATTATGATGTGTTTTCTCTCGGGCTATTTCAAGTGAAAAAAAAACTTTCTTCCTGAATATTTATATACAACGTGAGAGAACCCAGGGAGATCGGAAGTCATGCAAAAATTGACGCCTGTTGTTCTATTTTCTGTAAAAGAGCACTTAAGATCAATTGTGAAAATGGCCCTGGGTAACGCATGTGAAAAACAGAAAATGTGGTCAGGAATGTCTTGCCAATTCCGAGGAAATGGCGCCAATTTATTGCACTCAAAAAGACGTCAGAGGGCAAAAAAGCTGTACAAATCCAAGCATTGTTTGCAATGTTCCCGTACGACAGCTATTCAAAGGGAGCATAAAAGAAGGAGGGGTGAACTACAACGGAATATGTGGGAGAAAGAGAAAGTCGAAGTAAGTGTGAAAGAGAGATAGGGGGGGGGGGGGGTGGGAAGAAGAAAAAAATTTTTAAAAATAAAATCAGAGAATTAAAAAGAGAGAAGCACTAAGAGAGAGTAAGATAAGGAAAAAGACCAAAAGAGACATAGTGGCAATAGCAATAAGAAAGGAAAGAAAGGAAGAAAGGGAAGAAGATTAACATTATCAGTTACATTATATTATAATACTAACCAGAGAAATTTTGTTGACCAAAACCTCAAACGAAACTTAATTAAATATGTGTGGCTCAACACTTTTGATGTTCATTTAAATATACATTTGTGTGTGGATTTTTTTACTGGAATCGCTAGATTAAAAGCATAAACAAGATGTAAATTTGCAGTTTTCAAGTGCTCAAGCTTTGGAAGCTATCCAACTTTGGCAGCCATGTTCTCACTATTCTTTCCCTGACACCCTGCCACGCCCACCCCCTCCAACCGCGAATATCTCTACAATGTAATTCTATTCTAGACAGATGGTTATTTTTTTCATCAGAAGCAAGACAAAAGAACAAACTTTGAGTTCAATATTTCCACATGCCCAAAAATTGAGGAATAACTGATTTCATCGCGTCGATACACAATACCTGACGTTGACACAATAAATGACATGACATCGACACCTTGCCTGAAATTGACACATAAAATGACATCGGCACACCATAACATGACATGTGTAGTCCACATGTGCTCTCCCTCCTGTCATGCCAACTGTCTACGGTTTTTAGGGTTTGCATGTCTGATCTGATCTTGACAGCAGACGCTCTGGGAGTCGTCTTTTGCAGTGACCAGCTTCCCAGAACTTAATTTTTATCAAGCATTTACTAATTTGCTACGTCGTAGCTTGAAAGGAGTTTCTGTTCCAAATATGACCTCGTAATGCCAAGACGAGCTAAGCTCGTTAATTATTTAGAGTGATTAATTGTAGATGTTTTACGAATTAAGTCCCCTTTGACATAATTTAGGACGGTGCGTGTTAACTTTTGTATAATTTACCGAAGCATGACACAACACCTATCACTACCCGGGTGCTCCCCAACACCCACCTAAATTACCTCCATCATGCTAGTGGGCGGTACAACTCAGTCTGACAGGCATTGATTTAAGCTCGTATTTCGAAGGTCCGACCAGCAGGTCCAAAAGTCAGCCTCCAAATTGTTCTAAATTATGTCGATGGGGATGTAACAAACACCCGCATTTACATTTTCTCCATAAAAAATGAGTGTAAATGTACAGATTTAACGCCACTAACAGCACTATTACGTAATTTAAGAGGCGGGACCTCCAAGTTTCACGTCCGTTTCCGATAGGACCTACTCAATTGGGCTGAGAACCATGAACACTCTTCAAAAGACCCCAGTTCAAGAACATTCAGTTAAAACTCGAACCAGGGCCATCCATAGTCCAGCAGAATACCAACATTGTACTAACTATACAGGGCGCCCCTCTCTTCTGTCTTCGCTGACGAAGTGCTGTAGTATAGGTCAATAACCGAGCCAACAGCTGGAGCAAAATTCAGATATCAGATTTATAAATTGCCTACTTAATGTATTCCCTGTCAACGCTACCGTTGTGCTCTTGGTGGAATTTTCCCAACAGTTAAAGGGATGTATTTGTCCCATTCTGTCACTCAAGGACTATAAAAATGCTTGTGACTATGAATCTAATATTTAGCCCCCCTCTTTATTCACCTCTTAGACCCCCCCCCCCCAACTCACAAACAAAATGTGCACGGTCACACACACACACACGCACACACACACACACACACACACACACACACACACACACACACACACATACACACACATAAATACACACACAAACAAATACACATACACACTCGCAATGAGATCGCCCATCTCGAGATACAGAGAGCTCAACTCTCACATGAGAGAAGAAGAGAAGAAAAAGAATGATTCTCTTTGTCTTGCTTCTTTTGTAAATAAATTACACAATTTCAGCAGATGCGTGTTATTCATTGTCCCATTTAATCCAATCAGGGGAAAAACACAGTCACGACTTCCTTCTTTGGTTCATATTAGCACCTTGTGAGCTTCAGAAAAGTGTGTGTGTGTGTGTGTGTGTGTGTGTGTGTGTGTGTGTGTGTGTGTGTGTGTGTGTGTGTGTGTGTGTGTGTGTGTGTGTGTGTGTGTTGGGGGGGGAGGTTGTTTTCGTTGTTGTTTTATGTGAGGAAGGGGGGGTGTGATTGATACGTTTCTGTTGTTGTTATTGGTTGTTTGGGGGGGGTGGGGTTTGGTATTTTGGCTTCTTTTTTTTTAGGTGGGTGCAATTTTACTGTATCTGTGTCGCCACCATTACTACACAGCCGTGTGTAGCGAAAATGAAGGATATTCATAATGATAGTTGCAATGGTAGTAGCAGTATAAATTAGTAGTAGTAGTAGTAGTAGTAGTAGTAGTAGTAGTAGTAGTAGTAGTAGTAGTGCCATTATTAATGCTATTATCATGTATATCCAGGCTCTATAGCAAGCGCGATGTGCTTTACGACTATTGTTACCATATAACAAACTAGATTCTAGAGCTTTGAACAAACGATGAGGATGGCATGTTTAGCTGTCGACAACAGTCCTTTGACTGCCTATCAAAACTCTTTGCTGCCTATCTAATATACAGCTTGCGACGTACATGAATATGATCCCTGTAAACCCCGACCTTAACTTAAGTCATGGAAAATTAAGGCTGTTTATCGATTTGCTATTAATTATGTTCCATATCGTTCTTAAGCCGTGCTTATTTACAGAACAGAAAAAAACAATAGCTGAGGCATTGTCGAGGGAATGGTTCAATAAATGCTCTTGGTTTGGGATTTTCATGTAGAAGATTCTACTCCCTTCTCAAAACAATTTAAATCAACTGGGAAAGGAAATTAATGCCTCAAGTTTTGGATTTCTTTATGTAGAATTTTTACGCCCTTATCAACACAATTTAGATCAGTTAGGGGGATGAACTTCGACCTTGCCTGTCATGGCCAACACAGAATGAAAGAGCTACAACGCATCAGCAGACAGACCGAGGTACGCCATAAAAATTTCCCCCAACCCGGATCGATCTATCGTCTTCTGCGTGGCAACATCGCAGCACGTAACTACTACACCACAGAATCTGCTGCTAAATGCTGGGTAAAATCAAGCCAAAACCCTTGTGATCTTGTTCCTGTAGCAATAGCAGCAGCAAATCCTCGTAAGTAGTAAATCGGTGAGTGTGTGTGTGGGGGGGAGGGGTATAGCAGTAACAGAAGAGATAAACGTAGAAACAGAAACAATAGCAGACTAGCAGCATCCGCATGGCAGATACAACAGGTAAAGCTTCCACAGGTAAACCTTCCGTAAATTTACCTGTCTCAGCAGAGGTGTAACAGGCATCGGTACCAGGTCCAGCTATTTCGTTAGCTCTACACTCTTCTTCTTCAATTGCCAGATCGGAAACAGATACTAGCGAGCTTGGTTCGCCGCCCGTTTCTCCGCTCGGCTACCCTGAGAAAACTCTCGTTGTAGTACCCAGTAGTAGTAATAATAATATTGGAAGTATAGTAGCTCCAACCAAACCAGAAGTAACACGCCGAATGACTCCAACCAACAGAGCTAGTGATGTGGAGAAAGTGTGCAAACAACGAACAACTTAACTCTTTCGCTGCTGAGACAAAATCCGTCGGCAAAATGACGAGAGGCCCCTTTTTAAAGAGAAAAATAAATAGCAGCTTCGAACAAAAAGCTTGCGCTTCCTGCAACTAAGCCCCTCCCCACCCCACCCCCA